GAGGGGAGCCGTGACGTCACTGAGGCGAGGGGCTTCCTCCAAGGGAGACCGTGACGTCTTGGGGGTACCCGCGTGACAGAGCTGAAGGCTCCCTGCCCTGGGGGGGTGCGTGTGCGCGGTGGGGCGGGGGGGCTCCGGGGTCTGACGTCGCTGGAATGGGGTGAGGAGAGCCGTGATGTAATCAGCGGGGACTGTGGAGGAGTCCCCTCTTTGTCCGGCGCGGGGGTGGCCTTGGCGCCGGGGGTCCCCACGGGCTGCGGGGGGCTGCCCCTGGGTGGAGGGGCCGCTGTCAGCGGGGGGGCCCCGTGGGGCTGTGCCCCGCCGGGCCCCTCGCCGCCCAGCACCGGGCGATGGAGGCGCCGCTCACCCCGGGAAGGGGTGGTCTCTTTGGGGGGGGATCCCTGGTAACGACAGCATTGACCCCCCAGCAGCACTGGGGCAGGATGGTGCCCTGGGGGGGTGTCACTGTGTCCTGGTCCCCCTGCGGCTTGGGGTGACACCCCCACCCCGTCACACTGGGGGTGTCCGTGCTGGGCACCCTTAACTCCGCTTTCTCCTGTGCGTTTCGGCAGTCCGAGGAGGACAAACAGCTGCAGGATGAGCTGGAGATGCTGGTGGAGCGCCTGGGGGTAAGTCTGTGCCGTGCCTTGGCAAGGAGCTGCGGAGCCGGGAGCCTTGGCCAGGACTTGAGTTCATCTGTCCCTCGCTTGCGGTTGTTCTTTGCGCAGTGGAGGTGAGGGGGGTTCACCTTGAGTGGGGCCCCTCCTTGTCCGCTGCGGTTTGTCCCCCAGCCTTGCTGTCTGTCGGACTGGTGCCCGGGGGACCTCTGCCTCCCTCTGCTCTGAGCCATGGCTGTGTTTGGGGAGGGCTGGCGGGGTGGTGGCGCAGGAACCAGCCCCCTGCTCCCTGACAGGCAGCTTCCCTCTGCAGGAGAAAGATACATCCCTCTACCGCCCAGCCCTGGAGGAGCTGCGGAGGCAGATCCGCCCTTCCACCACCTCCATGACCTCCGTTCCCAAACCCCTCAAGTTCCTACGGCCGCATTACGGCAAGCTGAAGGAGATCTATGAGAACATGGCTCCAGGAGAGAACAAGGTAAAGGCTCTTGGCTCCACCATTCCACCTGGCTGCGGGGACGGTGCTGGCGCAGGTGGTCACAGAGCCATCCAGACCCTGTGGTCCCACATCAGCCTCTGTGACTTGCTCCAGTGGATTATAAGTTGCCAGGGCCATGCCTTTGCTGGCTTGTGGGTGCAGGGAGAGCGTTGTGTCCCTGGCTGCCTCTGCTTCCCCGTGCCCGTCGTGTGTCTGGACCTCCGTACTCTTTCCACAGCGCTTTGCGGCAGACATCATTTCTGTTCTGGCCATGACCATGAGTGGGGAGCGCGAGTGTCTGAAGTACCGGCTGGTGGGCTCCCAGGAGGAGCTGGCGTCTTGGGGGCATGAATACGTCAGGTAAGCCTGGGTGGGAGCAGGGCTGGGGGAAGGACAAGGGCTCAGGGGGATTTCCCTGAGCGCTTTGACTCTAGCCCGCCTGGGAGGTGTCCCGACTTGCTGGGCTTGTGCTGGGCTTCTCCTGTCACGTCTGCACACATGTCACCTCATCCTCTCTCCACAGTGGTTTGCTAACTGCAGAGATCTTGCTGCTGTGGCCTCTGTAATCTCTGCTCTTAACCCTATTCCTCCTCTGGGCTTGTCCCCCACAACCTCTCACAGGAGTGTGGAGCCCCCGTAAACAATACGCAGCCCCAGCTAACTGATAGCAGCTGCTCCCCATCTTTGGGGCTGGGTGAAGCTGGTTTCTGTGGCGGTGACGTCCTTTTGTCCCTGCAGGCACCTGGCAGGGGAGGTGGCCAAGGAGTGGCAGGAGATCGATGAGGCTGACAAGGCTCAGAGGGACACGCTCCTCACGCTGGTCAAGGAGATCGTCCCCTACAACATGGCCCACAACGCAGAGCACGAGGCCTGTGACCTGCTCATGGAGATCGAGCAGATGGACATGCTGGAGAAGTACATTGATGACAACGCCTACTCCAAAGTGTGCCTCTATCTGACCAGGTGAGGGACCTCAGCAGTCTCAGGCACTGGAGGGCGCCTGGTCCCTGGTGGTCCGAGGTTGCCTGACGTGGTCATCACCCTCACGCCTGTCTCCTCCTCAAAGCTGCGTAAGCTACGTCCCAGAGCCTGAGAACTCAGCTCTCCTGCGCTGTGCCCTGGGCATCTTCCGCAAGTTCAGCCGCTACCCTGAAGCCCTCCGCCTGGCTCTGATGCTCAATGACATGGAGCTGGTGGAGGACATCTTCACTTCCTGCAAAGATGTGTAAGTGGAGACACATTTCCCACCCTCTGGGGCCTTCACCCATCGTGGTGGGGTGTGGCTCCCTGTCTGGGCAAGAGCTGGGTTGGATCCTGCCACCGCCGGAGGTGTCTGGGGCTTTGGACTGAGACTCTTGCCCCTGAAATCAAGATGGGCCAGAGTGGGTCGTCTCTGGGCTGCTCTTGTGTGCCTCTAGAGCAGGGCAGGCTGGCTCACCGTTTGGTGAGCCTGTGTTTGTGCTGGGGCTGGCTGGGGTCTGGGCACTTGTGAAACCTCTTCTCTCTGCGCAGAGTTGTCCAGAAGCAGATGGCCTTTATGCTGGGCCGCCATGGGGTCTTCCTGGAGCTGAACGAGGATGTGGAGGAATATGAGGACCTGACTGAGATCATGTCCAACGTCCAGCTCAACAGCAACTTCCTGGCCTTGGCTAGAGAAGTGAGTGTCTCGGCTGGGAAAAGAGCTCTGGGCTGCCTCCAGCTGTGGCTGCCCTGGCAGCCAGGCTCTGTGGCAAGATCTGGGAAGAGATCCTTCATCCCTATGAGCTTGGCCAGGCACCTCCTGGAGAGGTTGCCCTTGTAGGGCAGCTGCCCTGGGGTGTGCTGGCCGGGTGGTAACCCCCTTCTCTCTTGTCTCTGCAGCTGGACATCATGGAGCCCAAAGTGCCGGATGATATTTACAAAACCCACCTGGAAAATAACCGTAAGGGCTGCTCTTGTGGCCTTTGTCTTTTCTCCTGTGGGGAGCTCCTGGGGCTGGAAGGCACCTCTGGGGCTGGAAGGCACCTCTGGGCCGGCGCAATCAGCTGTGTGTCCTGAGGCAGGCCGATGGCCTGCCTGCGGTCTCTGACCTGGCGTGGAGCAGACCCAGCTGCCTGCCATGGATTTGGGCTCCTCCTTCCTGCTGGTGGTGGGACAGGTCCTCATCCCCCTGTGGCGTGGGACAGCTGTGCGGTGGAGGGCTGGCAGGGCTTCTCTTGCTGCCCAGCTCATCCTGACATCGTTCCCCAGGGTTCGGGGGGAGCGGTTCCCAAGTGGACTCAGCCCGGATGAATTTGGCCTCCTCCTTTGTGAACGGCTTTGTGAATGCTGCGTTTGGACAGGACAAGCTGCTGACGGACGATGGCAATAAAT